GTGTGTGTGTGTGTGTGTGTGTGTGTTCGTCTGTCCGGGTATTTCAACTCGCCAACCACGCAAGGTTTGAAGTTGAAATTTTGCCAGTGTGTTCCCCAGCCAAGTGCCACCCGAGGATCGCGGTATCAACTCTCACACACGTTTGGGCCCCGCGTATGAGCACGCGAAAGTTTTGGCGGGAAAACTGATAACTCAGGGAAGAGAAAAGCTAGAAAGCTGAAGCCTTGGGGGAATGTCCCCTACTCGTGTATGACAAAAAGATTTCAAACTCAGCTGCCCAGGACTGCCCGGGGCTTACGTACGGGCACGTGAAAATTATAATGGGAAAATTCAAAATTCGAGAAAGAGAAAAGTTAGAAAGTTGAAGCTTTGGGGGAATGTTCTCCACTTACGCGCGATCAAAAACTTTCAAACTCAGCTCCTTAGGATCGTCCTGGGCTCACGTACGGGCATGTGAAAATTTTGGCGCGAAATTTTCATCTTTCTAGCTTTCCTGGTATCTGAGATACTAATTTTCCCACCGAAACTTTCATACGCCCTTACGTGAATACCACGCATAGCTTGGGGTTGAGTTTGAAATATTTGAGCTGTACTTCGATTGGGAACATTACCCCAAAATTTCAGCTTTCTAGCTTTCCTGGTACCCGAGTTGGCAATTTTCCTCCTAAAACTTTCATACGCCCTTACGTGAGTACCACGCACATCTGGGGGCTGAATTTGAAACCTTTGGCTAGTACATGCACAGGGAATATCCCTACAAAGTTTCAGCCCCTTAGTTCATGTGGTTCCCGAGATCTCTCTCACGCCAAAAAATTTGCATATTTTTTAAGGCTTCCGTACGCGGCACCCAGACGTCCAAGAAGGATGAAATTAAAATGGAAGGATCGCACATACTCCCAAAGTTTCAGCCTTCTAACTTTTCTGGTTCTCGAGTTGAAAGTGGGTGACAAAAAGTGCAAACACACAGACACACACGCACACACACAGACACACACACACACAGACAGCCCCTTCCCAATATACGTTTTTGCAACTTATACGCAAAAATGCATAAAAAGTGGAGGTATTGCTCGAGCGGTCGTTTGTTAAAAAATCCACGTATGCACATTAACTAATATTCATTTACATATACGGTTGCGGTCCGGCTCCGAGTTGCGATGGATTTTTTAGCGATTTTTGGGTTGAGGAGATGCCTGAAGCCGTGATTGGGGTACTCGACAGCTGAGTTTAAAATCTTTAGCTCGCACGTGCATAGAGAATATTCGTGCAAAGCTTCAGCTTTCTACCTTGCCTGGTTCGCGAAATCCTTTCCCGCCAACATATTTTTTTTCGGGGGGGGGGGCCGTACGCGGGGTTTAGGGGGGCGGGAAAAGATCTTAAAACGGGAGGACGACAGACAGGGTAGGAACGAAAACCCGAAGTTTCAGCCTCCCAGCTTTCCGGTTGCTGAGATGAAAGTGGGTGACAAAATGCACTTGCTTC